TTAATACCCTCTGTAGGTTTCCTGCTAGCTCCTGGTGGGAGAGTTGGGTGTGAGGATGTGGGGTAGCTGCTGGCCCAGGTAGGGTTTGCAGCTCTGGCTGTGCCTGGTCCCCTCCTCCTTGCTGCCACAGGCTGGTGGCACAGTGGGGTGACATGTCACCTCTTCTTCCCTGTTTCCTGCTGGGGGGCTTTGGGTTGGGTGTGCTCCACCATGCACATGGTAGGCTTGCGAACAGGACATATCACTGCTGCTTGGTGTGTCTTGGGGAGGAACATTTAGGGGAGGGAGGGAGTTCCTCCCTCCCCTAAACATTCATGGGGCTGGGGGAGTTCAAGAGGTGCGTGGCTCTCCCAAGTAGTGGTTTGGGGGTTTTGTGGCAACTTGCAGTTGTTGGGGCACAGCATCGAGGCCAGAGCTGTTGGGTTGTTTCAAGGGACTCTGAAGGAGTGAGTCCATGGGTCTGGAGATGAATGGGCAGTCTGCAGCTATCGGAGTGAAACGTGAGAGGGTTTTCAAGCCCCATAATTTCCCTCTTTCCACTTAACACCTCTAACCTAGAAAGATGGCCTTGGTACAGGGAGCTGAGATAGCCCTGCTTAGTGTGTCCCATACCTCCCTTTTATCCCCAGCAGCATTTCCCCTAACATTCAGTGCAGCTCAACGGATTGTAAATCCCCAAAGCCGGAGCTAACCACCAGGAGGAAAATGATGCCACACCATGTCCCTGTCCCTAGCCTGGACTTTGTCACCTTCTGTGTCACCCTCCCTGCACTACCACTGCTGCCTTGCTTTGGCAGAGAGGGGAGCGGGGCAACTTGCAGGTGATGGGTGATGCCTGAGGTGTTATCAGTGTCCCAACCATGAGCTGAGTGTCCCTGGAGACCACCTGAAGGTGACAGACAAGGCAGTGGACGGGTCCCCAGGTGTGGCAAGGTCCTAGCTCGGCAGTCCAACACCTCTGTTCTTCCGCCTTCTGATCTCTTTCCATGCCCAGCGCCAGCGTTGGGGCTTTTTGTTCATTTTCGTTATAGCCATCTCATGGTCTTGTGCAGCCACTGGTGCAAAGAGAGACTGACAAACGGGCTCCTCACTGTGCAGTTTGCTACTGAAGGGGAAAAGTCACAGGGCTCTCCAACAGTTGGAGCAGGACTGGTACCACAGGGGCTTATTCAAAGATGCTACTGGCCATCTCCCCCGGGGCTGATGGATAGGCTTGGGAAGGATTCCCGGGCTGGCTGCCTTCCCTCTGCGGCATCTGTTCTCCTGACAAATCCCGTTTCACTGGGAGGTTGTCATGGATGTTCAGCTGGAAAACGTGCAGAGGGGAGGGCCTGGCAAAGATGAGGGTGGAGAAGTTGTGGAGTTTTTCCCCCTCCTCTGTTTGCCACCAGAGCCGTGCAGAGCAGGGCTGGGACCTGGCCCACAGGGGTCTCTGCAGGACAGAACCAGAGGTGGAAGGGAGGGTCAGAACCCCCTGAGTGAAGCCCCGGATGGGGGAAGAAACAAGGTTTCAGTTGTCGAGCTCTTTCTCTGGGGGAAGGTGACAGCACTCCCCTCCCTCCCAAAAGCTGCGTTTCTCTTCAGCCCCACCTTGAGCTGGACACCACTAAGAGTTTTTATGTCTCTGGGGGCATTGCTGAAGGAACCCCCCAAAGTCCTCCCAGACACCTGCCTGATGCTGGTTCTTGGCACCTGCTTCCTCTGTTTTCAGC